GGCAGGAGCCTCAGCAGCCACGGGAGCAGCCTTCGGCGCATCAGCCGCAGGCGCCTGAGAGGAAGCGGCGCTCTGGCTGCCCGCACCTTGAGAAGCCGCGACCCCTGTTGCAACCGCACCATCAATAGTCTTGCGTTTCTTACGCAGCTCACCCATCCGCTTCTGGTATTCCTCCTGGTGCGTCTTGTACTGGGACTTAATGCTCGTGAGCGCTCCGTGCAAGAGGGTCTTGACCTGCTGGGACTGCTCAAGCTTGAACTTCTCAAATCCCTCGCGGTCCTCGGCCGAGAAGGCTGGCCCCGAAACGTCCAGCTCTTCACCAAAGTCGAGCTTGATCTCATCAGCGGAGTCCTTGAAGAGGGCGTCGAGGGAAATGACGTTCTTGCTGGAGATGGGCTCAGCAGGCTTGAGAACTCCGACGGCAAGCTTACGAGTGGCTTGCTCAAGTATGTCAGCGTTCTCCAGATCCCTCGCCATGAGCTCGTCAAGGTGCTTGTCCAGGTCACTGACCTCCTTGTCCAGCGCCGCGCGGCGCGCCAGGGCCTTGTCAAGCTTCTCCTTGGACGCCTTCTTGGCCTGAGATGCACGTTGCCACTCGGCCTGAGGTGTCGCCCGGGGCTGGGGCGGAGGCTTGAGCACGAACTGAGCGAGCAACTTCTGGGCAAGGTCGGGCGCGAGGTGCGAAGCAGCCTCCTTGACAGCCGCGAGAGCCTGAGGAGGAATGGCTTCGGAGGGGCCCTGCTGCACCTGCAGCGCCTGAGCACCCTTGCGCCAGCGACCCTTGGACTTGCTGGCTCCCTCACCCCATCCAGACTCCTCAGCACCGGTGTACAGAAGCATCTGGCCGCCGCCGCCGACAGAGGAGCTGAGCGGGTGGCACTGGGACTGGCACCCGACGCAGAGATTGTGCCTCTTGGCCAGGAGGTCATTCCAAGTCCAGTGGCCACAAGAACACACAGTGTACAGCCGAGCACCACGATTCTGCCCAGCCTTGGCGCCCCCAGGCGGAACTCGGATCCAGGGCTGCCTCGTCCAGGTTTCCTCCGCATCGTCGGGGATACGCCACGGGGCGGGGGCCATCGCAGCGCCGTAGCAACTAGCTCCGTCAGGAGCACACGAAAGATGGGCTGCCAGAAGCCCGTGCAGTACTGGCAAAAGCTGTCAGGCACAAGGCCTTGGCACTGCTGCGGACTAGCAGCTTCCAGTTCGGCACGAGGGCGCGGAGCCCTCAGGTGCAGCATTCTTGAGCCAAAATGGCTACGGAGGAGGAGGAGGAGGAGTACGAGGAGGAGGAGGAGGAGGAGGAGGAGGAGGAGGAGGAGGAGGAGGAGGAGGAGGAGGAGGAGGAGGAGGAGTAGGAGGAGGAGGAGGAGGAGGGGGGGGGGGGGCATGGCGGCCCCGGCCCTCTCGGAGCTCTGCGGGCGCCTCGACCGCACGAGGTCACTCCGGCGAAAGGTCGCTCCTACGTGTAGTCGACGCCGATGCTCCAGGCGGGGCGGCGGGCCCGTCGCCGGCCTGGGCCCCGGGGAGGCCGCCTGCGGGCCGCCGGGCCGGCGGAGAGAGCTGCCCGGGGGGGAAACGAGTCGGCTCCCGGGCGGAGGGCACGGAGGAGGAGGGCGGCGACGACGCGAACGGTGAGGACGAGGAGAGGAGAGGGGAGGAAGCAGCAGAGGGAGGAGGAGGAGGAGGAGGAGGAGGAGTAGGAGAGAGGAGGAGGAGGGGAGGGAGGAGGAGGAGGAGGAGGAAGAAGAGGAGGAGGAGGAGGAGGAGGAGGAGGAGGAGGAGGAGGAGGGGGAGGAGGAGGAGGAGGAGGAGGAGGAGGAGGAGGAGGAGGAGGAGGAGAAGGAGGAGGAGGAGATCTCCCCCATCCTGCCCATGGCAGTGGTGGTGGCAAGTTGGCCCGTCATCCTAGAGAGGGGCCGAGGGGGCTCTCGGACCCTCAGTCAGCCCGCACAAGGAGGACGCGCGGTAAGGACGCAAGGGCCTCGGAAGGCCATGCCGACACTCTGCGAGCGGGGCGCGGCTGGCGAAAGCGGCCAAGGATGGGCCGAAAGGGAAGGATGCAAGGGTAACCTCGGAAGGTCGCTCATCCTTACAGTGGGGGTTGACTATATCAACGGTGAGCGGGCGATTGGGGGCTCCCCACTGAGCTGTCCCCCCTTAACGGCTGGCCGCCTGGTTTTCGGACCATGACCCGGCTCTCCGGCAGCCAGCCGTTCAGAACGATCTGGGCACCCCGGAACGCTCGCGGCGAGGAGCACCCGTTGAGGGCATCCCGAGGCTGGAAAAGCGCCGAGCACCGACGAAAACGTCCGAAGACCTCGAACGTCGAACCTGAAACCCATCCCTCCCCGACGCTGCCCTCGAGGTCAAGAGGCCTGTGGAGCCCCCACCCTACGGCACCTGCGCGGTGCACGGTGCAGGCCGCGTCCGTGCCTGGCTCCTCGCTGCGCCGCGCCGCTCGCGATGGGCCCACCGGACCGCCCAGGACCCACGACGGAGCCAGGACAGGGACAAAATCGGACCGGCACAAATCGGGGACCTCTGAGACCTGGCGGTTCTGGAAAAATGTGATCGGGTGCCGCAGCCTTGGACGCTCTAAGAGCGTCCCGGAACGCTATGGAAAGATGCATCCCTGTCCTAGCCTCGCCCGATTGGACCCCACACCAAGAGAACCCGAGCGCCAGATGTCTGGGCAGAGAGCCCTGGGGGATGCCCAACCCATGCCTGCATCACTGCCTCACGCCACACAGCGTGAAGCGCTGCGTACACAGACAGCACGCGGTGCTCAAGCAATCGATGTAGACGGCCCCGGTGGACACACACACACACACACAATCACTTGCCCAAGACGCTCTTCCACGAGGGGGCAACCTGGGGCCAGGACCCCAGACGCCCGATGTCTGGCGTGTTCTTCAGCACGGGGCCCCCGAAGTCCAGACCCTCCCCCGGGCACGGCGCTTCATCCTGAGCCGTCTTCTGCACGGCCCTGCGGGCTGGCGAGGGCCCCCCGAGGCCCAGAGACGCCGAGGCACCGCCGCACCCATCGGCTCCACGCGTCGGAAGCCCCTCCCGGGACATCTGGCGTATCGATTTTTTCGAGACCCGGGCCCCCGACCTCTCGACCACTTCCCCGGGACGGGTTTTTCACCCCGAGTCGTGTTTTGACGGCCCCGAGGCCCCGAGGCGTTTTTTGGACGGTCCCAGAGGCCCAGCAGGGAAGGGCCCCCCGAGAGGCCGCAGACCGCGAGAAGCCTCCGTCGCGATCTCTCCTCGGGAGCGGCCAAAAGAGGGGTGTCCAAGAAGGGGGGGTGCAAATCATGACCGGCGGCATGTGCGCGGCCCAGCGGGGGGACCAGGGACGTAATGAAATGAGAAGAGGCGCCCTGAAATCTGGGGAAATATCATGGCCCCCACCATGAAATCCCCCCCCCCAGTCATCACCCTCCTCTTTTCCGCCCCCGATCTCTTCTAGACGCCCGACGTCTGGGTCCGCTCCTGCACCGCGGCCACCGCCTCGCGCCGGAACCTGACGTGCCTGTCCTCCGCGGCGGCCTCCTGCGCGGGGCCCCCCCTCCCCGAGGCCTCCTCGAGCGCGAATTAATAAGGGGGGGGGCGACCGATGGGGGGGGGGAGGGGGAAGACAGGGGCCTTCCCCACAGGGCCCCTTTACGCCCTTCGGAGCCCCAGAGAGCCCCTTCAGGTCCCGAAAGGGCCCTGCAGGGCCCCTAAAGGGTTTCGTCCCGAGGCCCCTGAGAAGGGCCCCTACAGGGCCCCTTCCTCTCGAGGCCCCTTCCAGGGAGCCCCAGAAGGAGCACTTTGGGGGCCCAAAAGGGCCCCATTCGCCCGCTGTGGCTGCTCCCCGGCGCCGGCCCCCTCGGGGCGCTGGCTCTGGGCCCCCTCCTCGGGGGGGAGGGCCCTGCCCGCCGGGTGCTCCCCCCGGGGGGTGCCCCGGGAGGCCCCGCGGGTGGCCCCCGGGGCACCCCTGAAGACGAAGCCAGGGCGAGGGCAGAATTGGGCGAGGAGAACTCGAGAACCTCCGAGATCCGGCGGCTCCGGAGGACGCGTCGGGCGCCCCGCGGCCCTCGCAGAGCGCAAAACGCGCCCTTCGCCCTCGTCCTGGCCCCACCCGAACCCCTCGTGAGAACCCCTGGAGGGCCCCTGGCCCCTTGGCAGGCACCCCGAGGCCCAGAGCGGCCCGACGAGGCCCAGCGGGGCCCGCGCACGAGGTCCCGAGGGCCTCGGAGTGCGACCCCACTTCGCGCCACGGAACAGGCTGCACAAACACACCTCCTCATCCTCCTCCTCCTCCTCCTCCTCCTCTCCTCCTCTCCTCCTCCTCCTCTCCTTCCTCCTCCTCCCTCATCCTCCTCCTCCTCCTCCTCCTCCTCCTCCTCCTCCTCCTCCTCCTCCTCCTCCTCCTCCTCCTCCTCCTCCTGCAGACTCTCGGAGGCCGCGCGGAACTTCCTTGGGTCGGCGCTGGACCTCCCCAGGGCATCCCCGGCGGCGCGGAGCGCGCCAGGGTCGGCGCCGGAGGCGCCGCGGAGGGGGGGCGGTCCGCCGCCGGCCCCCGGAGACTTCGCGCGGGCCTCCGAGGGCACGCCTGGTGCTGGCTTCGTGCTCCCTCCACCGGTGGGCCTCCTGCGCGGTCTCGCGGAGGAGGCGGACGAACACGTGCCTGGGCCGCAGCACGGCTGTGCACAGGTGCCCGCCAGTGAGCTTCCCTTTTTGGCCTCCGGGGAGGGCAGCAGCGTGTCAGATCGTGTGCCCTCGGCGGGGATCTGTGCACCGCCACCGTCCACGGAGGCCGAGGAGCAATCCACTGAATGGAGGCCCAGTCAACATCGAGCTGGGTAATCAGATCGAATCGGAATGTGCGTCGGGCCGGGCTGCATCGGCACGGAATCGGAACTGAATCGGATCGGCCGCGCCAGGATGCGAAACGGTGCCACGCAGGCATCGGGCCGCACGGAATCGACGGAACACTGGATTCGGATAAGCTCGGACCGGCCAAAACCGAACTCGAGCCGGATCGATCAGATCGACGTTGGGGAAATCAAAAGGCACCGATACCGCTACACCCCGGACCTCTCCCGGGGTGCGCTCTGACCAGAATTTCGAGGCAAATCCGGCGGTGGCGACGAGGGCCTCCTAGCAGGAGGCCCAAACAAGGGAAAGCGGGCGAAGAGCAGAGGCATGGGTACTTTCTGCGGTGGACAAACCTCCCTTTAGTAAACCTCCCCTTAGGGAAAACGGCCTGGGACCGAAACCGACGGACCTGGACCCGCAAAATGACGGCCGCGACGCCCTCTCGCGAACCGAAAACGGCCAATTCCTCAATCGACGTGTCAGGGTAGGAGGTCTATCCACCTCCGATACTTTTGGTTCCTCCTCGGAGACATGAGCCCTGACCCCGGGGGGGGAGGGGGAGGGTTCGCATGTGGTCCCCTAATGGGTACTTTTGGTTCCTCCTCGGAGACATGGGCCCTGACCCCGGGGGGGGGGGGGCCTGTGCACGCGTTTTTGCGGCGCAGTGCCTGCGGATCACGGGCCCGTCAGCCCGCTGCAGCCTCCGGATCTCTCGCAGGGCCTGCGCGCCCCGCTGGCCGCCGCCGAAGGCGCCGGCCGAGGGCGCGTGCCTCGGAGCGTGCTGCCTGCCGCTGAGGACGCGAGCGAGGTGAAGGTCCTCACGCCGGAGGGGACTTACCAGTTTCAAAACATATCCCTATCCCTGTGGTTGGCATCACCTCGCCTCGATGCCGATCTTAAGGATTCCCTCGGTTTCTGAGAGCACATCCCTAAGATTGTCCTCGCTTTTTCCTCGCCCATCTTAGGGATAGGGATGAGTTCGAGGCTGGTTAGGAACGTATGAAGGGGCCCGGGGGCGCACAAACAAATACACGCAACTCCCAAGATTCCCCACTATTTTTGTTATCTCTTCTGGGTGCTCCTCCTCCCCTCCCCACTTCCCGTACTTGTCCCGTATGTTCCCGGGGATCGGCCATGAACTGTGTCTCTGCGTTTTTTCCCGACGGGGAACAGAGCGAGCGGGGACGATCGAGCAGATCCGGGCGACGCAGGAAAGCCGTGGTCGCTGGTTTTTTAACGAGTTGGCCTCTTGATGCCATTTCCCGACCCTGGGACCGTCAAAGCACGACTCGGGAAGAAAAAGCTGCTCTTGGGAAGGGGCAGAGATCCACAGGGGACCGAGTCACGAAAAAACGGGACGTCTTCGATCCTGAACCTCTTGTTACCCATAGGCCTTTGGCGTGTCTTCGGCGGTCTTCGGCGTTCTTCTGACTGTCTTCGGCGGTCTTCGGCCGTCTTCGGTAGTTTCCGGCGGTCGTCGGCGGTTTCCTGCGGGGACTTCGGCGCGAAGGCTGAACGAGTGCGTTTAACAAGGGGTCCATGGTCAAACACCTGAAGGAAGGAACGAGCGGGGACAATGTTTCGGGATTTGCCTCAGGTGTCCCACCTTTCCGCACGGTTTGGGAACCTCTGGGGCCCTCTGGGCCTCGTGAGGACGGCCTTGGAGGCCACCTGGACCTCCTGGGAAACCCTCGCGATACTTTGGGCCAGGGACACCTTTGGCAAACCCTGAAGGGGGGACGATAACCCACAACGGTTCTTCTGTTTTGCACAGGAACCGCTGTAAAAATCGATGCGAACACTGTCCGTTTGTTACGAAGACCGCTCCCTCCCGACAGGAGTCGCTGTCGGTTTGGGGCAACACTTGCTGTTCAGCATCATTCCTATGATTGTCGCCCCCATGTCAAATCTCCAAACCATCTCCGACGTCGTGGGTTGTTCAATGCCCGCTCCGTTCTGGCCTCTGGAGGCCCGTTGGAATGAATCACCGGCCCCAGAAGGGTGTCCGGAGCTCTGGTGGCCCCGCACCGTCAGAGCGCGACGTCGGAGACGTGCGCTTGTCCGCGGCGGCGCGCAGACGGGCATCGTCGCCGACGCTGCTGACTCGGAGGCCTTCCCCACGAGTTGCACAGCAGGAACAACCGAACGAAAGTTAGAACCTGGAGGAACGTGAACATGGAGAGGAGGAGGAAGAACAAACAGCCACGAGAGGACATCGGGGCGAAGCCGCTCGAAAGTCCTGGGCCTGGTTCGATGCGGCTCTGAAGCATCTCGTCGCCGCGGCTGGACGTGGCTCGGGCAACTGGCTCGGGGCACCCTGGGCCGGCGGTCCTCGGCGGTGCCTCGGCGGTCCTCGGCGGTGTCTCGGTGGCTGGGCCGGCGGTCCTCGGCGGCGCCTCGCCCAGTCGCCGACCCCGCGGCGGCAGCCCCGCGGGGCGCTGCCCGTGCACGCTCCGGAGGGCCTCCGGAGGTCCGCCCGCGGGCGCCGCCCGTGGGGAGGCCGCCCGTGCGGAGCTCAAGACGCAGACCGAGGACGAGGAGGAGGAGGAGGAGGAGAGCAGGAGGAGGAGGAGGAGGAGGAGGAGGAGGAGGAGGAGGAGGAGGAGGACAAGGAGGAGGAGGAGGAGGAGGGGAGGACAAGGAGGAGGAAGGAGGAAGGAGGAGAGAGGAGGAGGAGGAGGAGGAGGAGGAGGGGGAGGAGGAGGAGCGCGCCCCCGTGCGCGCTGGAGGGCTTCCGCAGGTGCGCCCGCGGGCGCCGCCCGTGGGAGGCCGCCCGCGGTGCGCCCCGTCCAGAGGGGCTCTGCCGCCCCGCGGCCGCCCGAGTGGCGCCGCCCGAGGGCGCCGCCCGTCGTCGTCGGCTTCGTCGCTGTCTTTTCGGAGGGCGTCGTCGAAACCGTCGTCGAGGTCGTCGTCGGCTTTGCCGCTGTCCTCGTGCGGAGGGCGTCGTCGAGCTCGTCGTGGAGGTCGTCGTCGGGGTCGTCGTCCGCTCTGCCGCCGTCTCTGTCGTCCGGGCGGCTCTCCAGGCTTCGCCCAGGTCGCCGCCCGCCCCGCGGGCTGGCCTCGGGTCGGGCAAGTCCCCCTGCAGGCGGTTTCTGGAGGAAGAATCAAGGAGAGTCCAAAAATACGCAAGAGCAGCCAAAAGGAGTCAAAAGAATAGCCCAAAGCAGTCTTGGAGACCTTTCGCCATTTTTAGACTCTCTCGGCAGCCTCTGGCGGCACTCTCGACAGCCTCTGCAGGCGCGTTTGGACCTTGCTTGACGCCGTCTTGTAACCCTCTCGGGCCACTTGAGGACGCTCTTTACCTATCTTGGCACTCTCTGGAGCCGTTCCCGAACCCTGGAGGAGGCCTCTTGAGCTGTCTTCGGACGACCTTGCAGGTATCTGGCGCCGTCTTCGAGCCATCTGAGGGCATCTTGGACTCCTCTAATTACCTCCATTGTCTTCGTCGTCGCTGCCTACAGGGTCGGCGGCATCGGCCGTAAGGCCTTCGCAATAGCCAAAAACAGTCAGAAGAATGCCGCCTGTCGAAGGACAGGCCCGACCTGAGGCTGGCCCCGTGGGCGCCTCGAGGGCGCCTGGTGCGCGAGCGAGGCCCTCTGACGTTCCGCCCGGCCGCCCGCGGGGACGACTCGCGGGCGGTCCCGCTCGCTGGCCAGCTGTTAAAGGGGGTGTTCGCCCGGTCGCCGCCAGCCGGCGCCTCGTGGGCGCCACGTGCGCTGGCTCGCTTTGCCGGGCTCTCGCCTGGTCGACGCTCGCGGGCACCGGCTGGCACTCCTCGGTGCGCACACTGGCTGCGCCCGGCTGATTGCAGACATTGGCTGTGCCCCGTGGCGCGCACCACGCAGGCTGCACCCCACGGCTCTGCACCACACAACAAGCAGCAGGCACCACACAGAGAGCTCCGCATGGCTTGCACCACACAGCTTGCCCCACGCAGAAGCTCACTGTCTGAGGTCCACGCTGGCATACTCGGGGATGGACAGACCCCCCTTTAGCAAAACGTGGTTTAGTGAAAACGACCTGAGGCCCAAACCTGGCGGGCGCAGGCCTGGAAAATAACGGCCACGGCGCCCTCTCGAGAAACGAAAACGGACAATGCACTAGTCGACGTGTCACTGTTGGGAAGTTCTGTCCATCCCCCGACGTCGGAGGTCTGCGCGCCTGGCGCGCCCCACCAGGACGCGGTGCCGAGGACGCCGCCAGATGGGGGGGGGCGTCTGGCGCCGACCAAAAGAAAAATCGGCGCGGACCTCCCAAAACTTGGTTTCGATTCGGCGATGAATGTTCGACTGCCCACTTTCGCGCACCGCCGCTCCTTGGGAAAGACGGTCACGCGCTTCGCGTGCATCGCGCAGCGGTTGGCGCTCTCGAAGAGCCTTCGAGCGTACTCTTCGGAGGCCTTCTGCAACATCTGCAGCGCCACTGGATTCATCTTGCAGCTGCTGCCCGGGTCCAGATCGTTGCTGATGCTCCGGACCATGCGCTGGAAAGGCAACTTGCGGAGCAGCAGCCGGGAACTCCTCTGGTACTTGAGGATATCGCTCTGGACCCTGCTGACGCGGGCGCGGGCGGGCATTGCTTTCCCGGCGTGGGACAGAGTGGCGCGCCGCCGCCTGACCCTGAACGATGGCCTGGGCCAAAAACAGCTTGAGCCATAGGCGTCAGCAGCAACAGCACGAGCGAAAGAAAACCTGCCGAGCCGACCGCGGAGCGGAGACGACGACAGACCGCACGGCAGCCCGGAAGGGGCGCAGCGGCGCGGCACCGCCACGACGGCCGACCGAAGCGACCCGACCGAGCGCCACCGCCCTCGACGCGGCGGAGCCGACCGCACCGAGGACCCCCTCCGGGGACGAGACGGG